CTCTTTCCCATCTCCGTTAGGAGCATCATCTATTTAAAATGATTTTGGCATTTAAATTCTTGAGATACCAGAAGGAACAGATTCACATTCTGTATTTGTTGTGCACAAACAGCTTGAATTTACAAAGACAATTTATCTTAATATAAAAAAGGCTGGAACTGGTAGACTCTCTTTTTCAGTTAAAATGGAGTGCCTGTGCTTTAAAAATCTAACATGTTGGTTTAGAAACTGCTTGATATATATATAGATAGATAGATAGATAGATAGAGATATATATAAACATTTTATTTAAAATATCATGGTGCATATAACATGAAAATAAAGGATTTTTCTTATTGCTAATCCATTTTCTATAATCTTCCTGTAATTACAATGTTGGTGTAATTAGACTAGAGGCATGTGGTGTGGTTGTGTTGACACTTGTGTAGCAATAATGGATGATGCAGAAACTGAATGTTTGGAATACTCTCCCTGCATATCCCCCCCTCTCCTCCATGTCTTCTTTCTTCCTTTTCCTGTTCTGCTTAAATACTACAATTGTTTCATGTGCTAGAAAATTAAACATTCTTGCTTTTCAGCTTTGCAGTAGTTTAGCAGCGACAGGAGGGTGAACAGTTGATGCTTTTGATAGGAACCATTGTAAACCAATGGTGTATCTCACTTTTTGATATCTAAACACTTTCTGTTCATTGTTCACAGCCTCACAGAGGAGGTCTTTTGGGTGGAGAGGTAGAAATGCTTCACTTCTTGTATTGGCTAGAGATAGTCTAGCAATTAGATCTCAAGTTAAATATTGTTGGTTAGCATACAGCTTTCTGTCAGTGGTCAAGTCCACAAAATGACTTTTGCAGTGAGCAAAGGTATCACCAAGAACTTCTATAAGGAAAGCTTTTCATTCTGTTTAACACTGAGTTAAAGGTCAACTGGACTGGAATTCAGTTAAGGGTTGGATTATATTTTTTTCTTGTGTGTATGTATGACTGAGCATACACAGATGGGTGCAAAAACTCAGGTTCTCTCTTCCTTTTAAAACAAAAGCACAACAATGCTCCCACTCTCCCTGCTTTTTAATTTTCAAGAGTTTACATGCTCAAGTTGCAGTAAAACTGTTGGCTTGCTAGTGAAGTGTCATTATTAGATTGATGTTTGTAGCATTTAGAGGTCATGATTGGCCATCACTTTTCAGTAGAAGGTAATACTGGTTCCTCATTGAATCTGAGCCTGCTTAGTTTGGTAACAAAGCAGATTGAAGTTTACATCATGTTAACCTGAGGTAGTTCTGCATCTGACAATTTAGCATGACACATGAATATAGAAGGAAAATGAAATATTTTAAATTTATGAACTTGTAATGTTTGCTGTGCTTAGTGACACAGGTTGAACAATAGGCAGTGTCTTTTTGTTTTAAGTACATCTGATTTCCAAAACTGAACTAGTCAGAGGATCTCAAGCCACTGTGTGGGCTGTTAACAGAAATACTTCTGTTTATGATGTGATGCTCTGTCAAAAACTGAAAAAAAACCCAGAGCTCCATTTTGCCATAATACTGGCAGGGACATGAGCAATCTATAGAAATACAGTGTTCTTCAAGAAAGAGATGAAGTGAGCTAAACACAGATCTAGATTTCACACTTCATGGAAAACAAAGCAGCTAATCTGAAGAGGAAGTTTAAATTGCCTTGCTTGAAGACTGAAAGTGGCATAAAACAATGATACTGTGGAACCCTGTCAGAGTTCTCAGAAAGTTGTCTTTACCTTTTTGCAGAAAGCACCCTTGATTTAGGGAATATTAAAGTATCTGAAAAAGAACATTTTTCAGCCACTGGCTTCTCTTTTTAATTTTTTTTTCTTTCCATTCTTTCTTTCTTCCTAAAAGTCCATCCAAAAGCATTAGCTGAGTTTGAGGGGGTGGCATTATACCTTTATATTAAAAAAAAAACAAAACACTTCTATGATAATCCAGTTGACTTTTAAAATCTTTATTTATTTAAACTCTCACACATTTAATTTCCATGTCTTCCATAACCACAGAATTCTGGTGACACTGTTTACTTGGAAAAAACAGTTTTATCTTTAGGGTGTCTTATCCCTTTTCAAAGCATCAGCTGCAGGTTGGGCTTTTCAACATTTTAAAGTAGTCTTTAAACATTTAAACATTGTCTTTGAAAGACATACTCAAGGTTGCTCTTAGACTTGAGTCTTTGCAATCTGTATCTTAGTATTTGTGAGTTTGCAGTCTGAGCATCAGCATATGTTGTGCTAATTTTTTAGTTATTGATTGAGCTGTTAATTTCAAGTGAAGCAGTGTGTTTATAAACCACAGTGAATAATTTCTTGTAATGATTCCTAGTATTTCACAAAATGCATAGTTGTTTTTTGTAAACCAGATTGGCAAACTGTGATAGAGAATATGGGAAGAGCCTAAGTTTACCTGAGCCGCATGTTTAATCTGACTACAAATCAGTGGGTTTTGCTTCTCCATGGGTTTTTCTTTTGTGGGTTTTTTTGTTTGTTTTTTTCTTTTTTTTTTTTTTAATATATAAGCAAAATTCAGTTTTAGCAAACTGAAAGATTTCCTACTGAAAGTAGGAAAGACAGTATTCAGTAATTTATCACTTCATAAATGCTTTATTTTTAAAATACAAATGTAGAAATCCTATAAGGAGAAAGCAAAGTAATTCTTCCTGCATGTTGATATTTTAACACTTGCTTGGCAAAAGTAGGAAGTTCCCATATAAGTATTGAAGTGGCAGGGTAGACACAAGAACTTCTGCTGTTTAAAACAGGGAAAAAAAACAACCTTAGGCTCTTAGCATGCTGTTGGTAAAAAGGGATGAGACATCTGAAGGTGTGCCAGACTTCTTGATACCAGATTACTTTCCATAAGCAGAATGTCACCAGTCTTCGCAGAGCATGGCTCGTGATGACAGTCTCGTTTTGGTCCACCGTGGACAGAATGAAAGGCCTCTCTTGGAATGCAGCTAAACTCACCTTTGAGTTGAACAAACAACTCTTCCACATTTGAGCCACTTGGGCCAGACTTCAAAAGCATGCTGCTGGATAAGAATTTCAGAATGTATTTTTAAACTTGACCACTGCACCACTTTGGTTTTGTTTCTTCTTGCTATCTTGCTTTGTCATTGCTTGCTCTCTGCGACAGTGTACTGCTTGTAGGTGGTCCCTGTAACATTATCTTCTTAGCTTTAGCAGATTTAAGTACTCCAGATCCCTTTCTGTAGCTCTTGACTGCATGGCACTGCATGCAAAATCTTTATTTTTGTTCAGGCCATTGTAGAAGTTTGTATAGACAGTCTGTATGTAGTGCTAGCTTGGGTCATACACTGGAAGTACAGTTTGTGTTTCGCTGCTGTTGCTGTGTATTGCATGTGTGTGTTCCTCTGTATGCCAAGTTACAGGTGCTGCAGGGCATGCGATTTGGGTAATTAATTCACCTCAAGTAAGTACTAAAAAAAAAAAAGAAAAAAACCAAACATGTGTGCTTCTCTTAGCCAGAGTTCTATACAGGTGCCTTGTGTCAGCCATACTGTTATGTAAATACAGTCTAGTTGTTCTCACAACCTGCAGAAAGGCATGAGACCAGCTGAGTTTGAGCCTGCCAGTTTATACACATTTACTTATGCTCTGGTTGTGGCTTCTTAGCTGACAGTCACTCATAACTGCCATGGGGCACATTTCAAAGATTTTTAAAGGAACTCGTCCCTTATGGAAGCATTTGGGGTTGGTTTGTTTGTTTGTTTTTTAAAGAGACTGGAAAGGTTATAATAGGAGGGGAGGTTTTGTTGGGTGAGGCATGCGCAGGAGTGGCATAAGGCAGGTGTCTTTTCGATAACAGCAAGGACACTTGAAAAAGAAATGAAGCGTTAACATTTCTGAAAGGCAGATACTGACTAAATACAGAAGAGGAGAAAAATCCCTTTGAAGAAGAACCCATTTCAGCAATAAGAATTCAGCTTTAAGTTGTAAGTCCATCGGCAAATTTGTTAGTTATACCAGTATTTGTTAGTTGTACCTTCTCAAAGGGATCTTAAACCCACAATCCAGCTAGAGAGGATATTTTTTTCTTTCTTTGTAAGGGGAATCTGAGAGCTTACATATTAAGCCTTAACGCTGTCTTAGCCTTCTTCAGAAATTCATAAAGGACTACTTTTTGATAGTTGTGCCTTGTGGATTCAAGAGTGAGACATGGGGATACACTCCCTGTTTGAGAGCCTCAAGAACATGACCCTGTAAATGGCTTTGGGTTCTGGGTGAGCCACCCCCTTGCACAGGTTCCAAAGGCTCCTTAGGCTTTGGTCACTGTACTTTGGAGGAGAGGGGGTATTTAAGGGGTGAGTGTCAGGGAGATGGAGTTAGGCTTTTCTCAGGGATGACCAGTGATAGGACAAGGGGTAATGGTTGCAAATTGGAGCATAAGAGGTTCAAGGTGAACATCCGAAAAATTTTTTTTACTGTGAGAGTGACAGAGCCCTGGGACAGGCTGCCCAGGGAGGTTGTGGAGTCTCCTTCACTGGAGACATTCAAAACCCACCTGGACGTGTTCCTGTGTGATGGGGGGTTGGACTAGATGATCTTTCGAGGTCCCTTCCAACCCCTCAGATTCTGTGATTCTGTGATTCTATGATTTGTGCATAGCTGTTTGATAGAATCACAGGATCATAGAATCATCCTGGTTGGAAGGGACCTTGAAGATCATCAAGTCCAACCATAACCTAAATCCCCCTACCATAACCCAATTTACCTGTTCAGTGCTTAAATCACATTGATATGCACTATATCTGTATTTCTTTTAAACACTTTTAGGGATGGTGACTCCACCACCTCCCCGGGCAGCTTGTCCAACCACTCTTTTGATAAAGAAAGTATTTCTAATATCCAGTCTAAACCTCCCCTGATGCAGCTTCAGGCCTTTTCCTCTCATCCTGTCATTATTCACTTGAGTGAAGTGGCCAACTCCCACCTTCCTACAGCCTCCTTTCAGGTAGTTGTAGAGAACAATGAGGTCTCCCCTCTCCTCTTCTTCAAGCTAATCAATCCCAGTTCCCTCAGCCTCTCCTCACTGGGCTTGTTCTCCAGACCTTCCACTCCAGCACCTCAATGTCCTTCCTGTAGTGAGGGACACAGAGCTTAAGGTGCAGCCTCACCAGTGCTGAGTACAGGGGCAGGATCACATCTCTGCTCCTGCTGGCCACACTATGCCTGATGCAGGCCAGGATGCTGTTGGCCTCCTTGGCCACCTGCTGGCTTGTGTTAAGTTGGCTGTCAACCAGCATCCCCACGTGCTTCTCCACCGTGGAGCTTTCCAGCCACTCATCCCCAAGCCTGCAGCTTTGCATGGGGTTGTTGTGACCAAAGTGCAGGACCCAGCACTTGATCTTATTAAGCCTCATACAACTGGCTTTGGCCCATCGATCCAGTCTGTCCAGGTCTCTCTGCAGAGCCTTCCTACCCTCAAGCAAATTGACACTTCCTCCCAGCTTAGTGTCATCTGCAAACTTACTTAGGAGACACTCAATCCCCTCATCTAGGTCGTTAATAAAGATATTGTGCCCTGGGGGACACCACTGGTGACCAAGTGGATACAACCCCATTCACTACAACTCTCTGCTTGACCAGCCAGCCAGTTTTTTACCCAGCAGAGAGTGCACCTATCTATGCCATGAACCAGCAGCTTCTCTAAGGGAATGCTGTGAGAGATGGTGTCAAAGGCCTTTCCAAAGTCCAGAGAGACAACATCCACAGCTCTTCCCTCATCCACCAGATGGGTCATCTGATCATAGAAGGAGATCAGGTTAGTCAAGCAGGACCTGCCCTTCCTGAATCCCTGCTGTCTGGGCCTGATCCCATGGCTTTCCTGCACTTGCCATGTGAGTGCTCTCAAGATTAATAGGAGTGCTGCTTGTTGGCAGTCCCCTTTTGAAGTGAAGAGAGATAGATGCACCCTGTGTAATGTTGCAGATCTGTGGTTCCCCCAATTAAGGGGAGAGGAAGCTCTCAGACATAACCATCTCAGCATCCCCTTTGGTGTATGGGGCTTCCTTAGCAGCCCTCCTTTATCAACACCATTCAGCAAAGACCAGGTCAGCCTCTGCATATTTTGACTAAATGATTTGCCTGCTTTTTTATACTGGTAATAACTAGTTCTCTTGTTTTCCTCTTATTTTTTTTGTGATGCCTTTTGGGACAAGCCAGATACATTTGACTCAGCCATAGCAAACTTAAGGAAGTTCAAAGTTGGCTGTATTTGGGAATCATCAGTCTCACTCTGGGAATAAGCTTCTTTCACTTTTATGTGTTACGAAGCTGTTGCTCTCTTAGTGGGCAGCCAGCTAGCCTAAATCCAACTGGTTTCTATAAGGTTTTATGTTTAGTTTTTTGAAAGGCTGACACTTCAGTGCATCCAAAACTAGATGAAGAAGGTGGGCTCAGAATAGCTAAATTAATCTTAATACAGAATTAAATTGTAAAGTAGTAGTTTGTAATGTTCCCTGGACTCAGAGATCACACTGCCTTGTCATGGCAAATACATTTTCTTTGGCTTGGCAGCCTGCTTATGAATTGGTATCGTACCGGTTTGGACAGTGTGCTGTGATAGTGTGGAAATGGTTCACATATTCCTGCACTTTTGCCTTTAAAATCTAAACGTCTTCTGTTTATGCTCCTTCTAAATTAGGATTTGGTGTCTACACAGGCAGAAAACGCAATTCACTGACTCCCAGATCGAGTCTTTTCCCTTGTCCGGGTTGCCAGCGGGACATCGATCTTGGAGAACGTGGCATCAATGGCTTATTCCGCAACTTTACTTTGGAAACCATTGTGGAAAGGTACAGACAGGCAGCCAGGGCAGCCATTGCTATTATGTGCTATTTCTGCAAACCTCCACCTCAAGAATCCACCAAGAGCTGCCTGGACTGCAGAGCAAGCTACTGCAATGAATGTTTCAAAATACACCATCCTTGGGGAACTGTGAAAGCCCAGCATGAGTATGTTGGACCAACCACCAACTTCAGACCCAAGGTAAGTATCTTAACTGAATTTGGGTTGCAGCATTCGTATACTGCTTCAGGCACACCTGTGCAATGATAGTGGCTTCTTAGAACCATTGTTGCTCTACTGAATCTTACTGTTACTGAGTGAACCATAAGCTTTTGTTCTTATTGGTGCTGAAGTGGTTGTCACTAGGAGGGCAATGGGAACATATGTGATGGGGACCCTAAGAATAAGGATATTTTTCTTCAGGGATGGACTGTGTTATTTGTGATTTGTGTAATTTTTTTCTTTTTTTTGGTGAGACTTAATGATACTGAGCATCTAGAGTGGCAGTGCTTTTCTCTAAAAGTCAGGTCAAGGAGGGTGCCTCTGTGCAGTAAGCTTAAAAATCCCAACACAATTGGCCTCCCCCCAACCACCTTTAAGGCAGATTCTCTTTTGGATGTTTTGTGTTTAAACTTGATCCATCACAAAACATCTTTCTCTTCTCCTTCCTTGCATCTAGCAGTAGCAGTAGAGTTCAGGTCTCTATTGTTATTGCACCATGTTTTTTTAGCTACAGTAGAAAAGAAAAATGCAGTGGCTAGTTTTCTGCTTTACACATTAATGCTGTGGCATTCAGACAAACAGTGACTGCAGAGTGCTGTTCCCTTTGTTTCTCTTGCTGAGCATGGTGCGGAACATGGCAATGAGCCTCATTGAATTTTATGTACACGATAGGAGAAATTGTCACAGCTGTGATCTCCCTAACAAGGGACCACAGTAGGTCTTAATGTTCCAGCACTTGCTGTGTGCCTGTGACTGGTAACCTTGAAGGTCCATGGATACCAGAAATGCTGATGTTCCAGGAATCCAAATTAATGTTTATTAAATTAAGTTGATTTGGTTAATGTGCATGTGTGAGAAGTTCTTCACTGGTAGTGTACCTTCTTTGAAGCTAGAAAAAACTGAGGCTTAAAAGTTAGTGAGCTGGCAGATGGGGAACATCCAAGTTCACTTGGTGCCACTTTTCTTGAGTCTAACACATTAATTCCAGTTAAGACCAAGCATGTGCTTGATGAGCTTTAGAATGTGCTAGCACATAGCTATCCTTGTGAAATGTCCCTTTTTCAGATAAATGAGTAAGGTAAGTTTGTCTGCTGTCTTCCAGCTCTTAATCTAAAATGCTGTACAGTTCTTAAAAGTTTTGCTTCTATGGTACATAAACCTCCACTGATGCTATGTTGCCACTTAAAAATACCAAAGGCATCTTGTGATCCTTGTGTACTCTGAAAGGTGCCAGATGTTGTTATACTATAAGCAGATTGAAAATTGGAGTGTAAAAATCAGTAGAGTTTTGTTCAGAGGAAAAAGGGGAGAAGTGGTTTAGCTCATCCTCATCTTGATAGATCAAGTGCGTATGTGTGTGTGTTATTTAGCTTTTTTAAATATTATCTGAAGTACTGTTTAAAAAAAGAAAAAAAACAAAGAAAGACATAATACAGTTAAATCAACTATAGACACACCTGCAGAAAAACTTCCCAATAATGATAAACTGATCTTTACTGTGCTCTTGTAGAGACTTTCTTAGGACTGTTTGAGCTTAATACAAAGAAAGAAAACTGCGTTTTTCATTGCACTGGATTGCTAAGACCTGAACTAAATGCATGGAGTATTTGCTGGTTTCCTAAACAATGTCCTCAGTGATCACTTTGATTTATGACCAGGCTGAACAGCACTTTGTAACTAGCGTGGTGGGGATGGGAGAAGCACATACTGAGCTGATTGTTCTTGAATTTTGAGAAAATTAAACACGGTAATCTGCTGACCTCTTCTGTCTCTAGCTTGCAGGATGTAAACCTTGCTTATACAAGAAGATGAATAAAAATATGTGCTTTCTGTTTGGTGTGACTGTGCACTGCTGTGGAAAAATTACTTCCAAAGGTTAACAGCATGACTGCAGGTTTTGGTGATGTCTTCCTCCACAGCCAATTTTCCTGAAAGTTTCCTTTCCCCTAGTACCTCCCAAATCCAACTGTCCGTGACAACAGGATAGTATATAACATATTCAGGATGCTAGTGAGACTGGTGTCTTTTGGCTTTTCACCATAGCCTAAGATAACATTTGGAGCTTGAGAGTTGGTTTCAGAGATGGTCTGCAATTTTAGCTTAGTGTGTCAATATTTATGCTGCTCACAATTTACTATTCCTGTGCCCTTTTCTGTCCTTTTGTGCATGTGTGTTAAAATATTGTATTTTTAAAGCCTGAGTGTTGGCACTGCTGTCTTGTTTTTCTCCTTGACATGAAACTGAAAAGCTTTCTCAAGAGCTCTTGTTTGGTTACATGGAGTAGACAGGCCCATATGTTGTCTTTCAGTGCTCTGGAATGAGCCAAAGTATTTTTTTTTATTTTTTATTTTTTAAAACACAACCCCCTCCTCCATCTCCTCTTCTCTCTTTTAGATGGTTTTAACTGTTGTTTACACCTGAAGAAGTTGAGCAGGACTTTCTTTTCCTCTTTGAGCAGTTGTTTCAATATGTTCAGTTTTTGAAAGATGATTTTTCGTGAACACCATTTTTTTCATAATGCTGTGGAAGCTGGTACTAGAATTAATGCTCAGCACAAGCAACTTGTAATTGGAGTAAAAAAGAAAAATGTAAACACTTTTTTGTCTTCAAAAGAACTGTGCCTGGGGGTGGTGGCTGCATTTTGCTTGTTGCTTCAAGAGCAGTGACTTTGTGGCTGATCAGAGACAAACTTAGACTTAAATCATTATGGTATTATGTCAACTTTTCCTTTAAGAAGCAGTTCAGATTCTTGTTTCAAGAGATGCTGGCACGGTTAAATTTGACATGGTGGGTATGTTACATATTGCATTTACAACTCTGAACAGGAGTGTGGGGAGCTGGAGGCATGCAAACAACTTACTATATTAGCAAAATGGTTGATTGCATGCTGGAGATTATACGATCTATACACAGACATTGCTACAGGTTTGTTTACTGTAATTCTTGTGAAACACTGTGTGTTCATCTACCGACTTTCACTGGCATGGACAAATATAAAAAGTGGAAGATAAATTGAAGATAAAAAATCCACTTATGAAATCAGACACTGCTGTGGGATGGTTGAGTGTTTTGATGGTTTATCGAGCACCTTGGTTTTTGGAAGTACACCTGCATTTTCTGTGCTCTTTTTTTTCCTAGATTTTGATGTGTCCAGAGCATGAAATGGAGAGGGTAAACATGTACTGTGAAATCTGCAGAAGGCCTGTTTGTCATCTTTGTAAACTGGGTGGATGTCATGCAAATCATAGAGTAACAACCATGAGCACTGCCTACAAAACTCTTAAGGTAAAAGTAAATATTGTTGAGCTTGCTGTAAGAAGGGGAAGAGTACTGAGCTACTGGTGTAAGGATAGACTCCCTTTGGCAGGAAGCCAGAACTTAGATGTAGAGAACACTGAATGAGGCATGCTCCTATGCAACATCTGTTGATGTATATTGTAGTGTGATATGGCACATGTTAGATAATCTAAACTGTATTTTCTGTGAGGCTTGAAACATAACTTCTTAAAAGTGTTTCCACCTTATTCTAGCCAACTGTACAGCAGCACTGACCAATGCAGAAAGCATAGACACGTAATAATTTACAACCTAGCTTTTACCCTGGATGTTCAGATAAGTGTTGTGTGACATGGGTTAGCTGAAACTTTAGAAACTCTCCTTTACAAGTATCTGTTGGGACCCTGAATGTTTCTGAAGTGGTGTTGCAGTTAATTCCCTAAGCACAGTAAAACAGGGAAGACTTGCAAACATAGCTTTATTATTAAAGAATGATTGCTGCTACCTCCTCTTCTTTTTCTTCCTCCTTTGCTTGCAGGAAAAAAAACCCAAACAAAACAAAAAACAACAAACAAACCAAACAAGACTAGCCTGACCTGTGCTCTTTGGCCTCCTTGCCTGGTTGCAGGGCTTTTCCTGTACAGCTGTTGACTCTTGAAACTAAGGTGGTGCAGAGACACTCAAAACTTCATGCTTTGAACCACTCATTTTTCTAGCAAATCTTACTGCAAATGAGTTAATGGCTAGCAAGGCTTCCCTGTAAGTCTTAGTAGCCTCCTCAGGCCTCACGTTCCTAGCCTAAGAGCAAGTGACTCCTGAGGCTGGGGAGGCATGAGCCCTCTGAGTCTGTTACCTCTTGCTCCTGGAGCATGTGTGCCAGTCAAGCTCACAGCAGTGGCCTGATGCCCCTGCACAGTCATGGCATACCAAAGCAGTTTTCCTTTGGGTTGCTGTTCATCACTGGTGGCAGGCTGTTGTGCCTAGATAAACCCAGCAGTAGCTGGATGACCTGCCTGTGCTTAGTATTGGTTTGGGTGAGGTACCCTTGTTCTGCCCGCTTGCTGTTTTGTTTTAACAGGAGAAGCTTTCAAAAGATATTGAGTACCTCATCAGTAAGGAGAGTCAGGTGAAGGGTCACATCACACAGCTGGATCTGCTGCTGAAAGAAACAGAGGTAACTGGGGCTTGCTGATTTTCTGGAGATAGCCTTTGCAAGGACTTGGTGGGAACTCCATCTGTTTTCAGTGAAGCATTTCAAAACCTTTTTTTTTTTTTTTTTTTTTCAGTGAGCTCACAAAGTTATTTCTGTACAGTTTGTTTCAGTCCAGAATCATATACACTAAGCCTTAGTCCTGACAGCGTGGGAAATTTGGGCAACATACAGCAGGAAGTTAAGTGTTGGTGGCTGCTGTAAAATTAATTAAAACAAAGTTTATTTGATACCTTAATCATAGAGAGGTGAGTTAGACTTACAGTTCTTGTGTATTAATGGTCCTGCACAATCTACGCTGTCTGTTTACCTTGAGATTGTTGAAGTAAAGTCAGCAGTAAGGGCAAAAGCTCACTGTAGAAGAGTCAGACCTGGAGTCATGCTCAAATATGAGCTGAAAAATACAATAACAGAAATTGCAGGAGCTCCTGGTCATGCATGTATCTTGATATGGGCTGCCTCCTTCCTTTATAGTTCTTTTATCCAGAGCATTAGTCAGAGGTGGCACTGCAGTTCTGAGATCATACATGAGAAACTGGGTGGGACCCTCAGTTCAGGGTGATTGAATAAGTTGGAAGAGCACCTAGCTCTTGGGAATGAGGACTTGAAACTGACCTGCTTTTATAGTGCTTTTACATGAGCTGTTTGGACAAATGCCCTGCCTATCTTAAGAGGTAATCAGAGGGATACTTTCCCACTCTTTGATTTCTGTGTTAAGATTGTAAGTGCTTACCTGCTCGGCTGCAGCATTGTTCGTATTTCCAGTGCTGAAGAGCGTAACAAAGCTCATTAGTCTTGTCTGTCAAATATGTTGCTATGAAATCTTTGACAACCTTAAGCAAGTTTCTATACACAGCCACAATGCTGTGTAATCTGCCTCAGTTGTCTTTTTTTTCGCTCCTAGTGCAACAGTGAAAGAGCTAAAGAAGAAGCATTGCACAGTTTTGAGAAATTATCTCATGTCCTGGAAGAGAAGAAATCTGCAGCTCTTAGGGCAATTGAGGTTTCTAAGAATCTAAGGCTGGAGAAATTGCAAACACAAGCAGAAGAATATCAAGGGCTTCTGGAAAATAATGGTCTTGTAGGATATGCTCAAGAAGTGCTTAAAGAAACTGATCCATCTTGTTTTGTTCAAACAGCAAAACAACTTCATGTCAGGTATCTTTATTATCTTTTGTTGAGGTGCAGGTACTGTTTTGGGATGTCTGGTCAGTCATATTCTTTTGACACTTGGTAGCAAAGTAGTAAATGCAGTTCCTATTGCAGAAGCTGAGAGATGGTTCCCATACAGTTCAGTAGAAATTACCCTGCTACAGTGTGCATTAAACAGCAGGCAAGGGGGCTCTGTCCTGCAACAATGTCTGGCCTTGGTCAGCAGGACTGACACATTCCTTTGCTCAGAGATGGCATTGGGTATTTGGAAGTTAATCTGACAGTTCTCTTCTGGCTTTAATCTTAGTAGTTGTTCTCCATTCGCACTTAACACCTATTTTGTTCTCTGTATATAATGCCTCAAATTGTTAAAATGCTCTGTAAACTGAAGGGTTACCTGCTAGTTATCCTTGCACTGATGTACAGAAGGCCTTTGAATCTTGCATTTGAATAACATCCAGAGAGAGAAAATCCTGGGAGACATTAGTAAGTATATGAAAACAGAACTTTTTTTAAAGCAAAAGCATTTTTGCTTTAAGGACCGCACATGTGAATTTCCTCTTCTCTCTTCTGCCATCCCTCTGCTTCTTTGCTTTCAGAATCCAAAAAGCTACTGAATCTCTGAAGAGCTTCAGGCCAGCAGCTGAAACTACTTTTGAAGACTTTGTCGTGGACATAGCCAAGCAAGAAGAGATCCTTGGTGACTTGTCCTTCCATTTCAATGGTAAATTGCAAAAGCGTTACATCTTTCTGGAGTTGCAGTTTTAAAGGAAGCAAAACTTAGGGCTGCAGTTGCAGAACTCAGTCTTGCAACCGGCATTGTCCCTGCTGTCCCCATGATCTGTTGATCAAGGTATTACCTGGCAGCAACACTACCTTTAGCTTTGATATAGAAGCTAAGATTCCATTGCATTCAATGCCAGGTTACACTGGCTTCCAAATTATTCTAGTTAATACTGGGTCTTCCTTGAAGCTTTTTTATCCTCTTTCTTTACAGAAAAGTGTACATTTTTTTTAGCTGTCAACAAAAAATAAATAATACAACGTTCAAAGTAGAAACAGAAGGTAAGGAATTTATTTAAGTGCATGAATAGAACCATTCTCATCTGCACTCTTTACTCGAGTGAATTGGATTCCTCTCCACTCTCCACATCCCCTACAGACACTGCAACAGCCACTCAACAAAGGGCTTGTGTGGTTAATTCTAAAGCAACATGTATCTAAATTTGAGGTATTTTTCTCTCTTGCGTTCCAGGTCTAGAAATACCAGAAATCAATGAAGAGCAGAGCAGAATGTACAACAAAGCTCTTATTAGTTGGGAATGCCCTGGGAAGACAGATTCAGCTGATATCTATGTTCTTGAGTATCAGAAGCTTAATAGAGAAGGGGAGAGCGCAACGTGGCAGGAGATAGAAGTTTGCAGCAAGAGGAAAGTAATATCTGATCTTGATGAAGACAGCAGCTATGCCTTTAGAGTTCGAGGATATAAAGGGTCCATCTGTAGCCCTTGGAGCCGAGAAGTTATTTTACATACACCTCCAGCTCCAGGTATTGCATCTTCTTTCATCCACCAGATGCTCAGTCAGTGTCTGTCGGGGTTAAGAGCTGTAGGTGGTTTCCAGTAGCTCCCAGACTTCTACTGTACTGTTACCAGTCACATAAATGTTTAGAAGCACTGTTAACAAACAGGTTAAGTAGGTAGCGTACTGAGGCTGTGCCATCTTGTGTGGCATTCCT